TGTTAGTTTGAAAATATACGCAATACAGTTCTCCTGGTCTCGAGGATACACAAGGTCTCTTACAGAACCTGAAGTTTGGTGTTAGTTACTTAGCACGAATTCACTAATTCCCGGAAGTCTATATCGTGCACCCGCTAAAGAAGGTGACAAATATTTGAAAGACAACTGGCCTGTAAGTCCGCAGCGCACAGGAATCACAGCCGGGCTGCCACGGAAATACAGAACGCCCGGTGTTAGTCCAGTTTTCTTATATTGTTGTGAGAACAACCATAGCATTAGTGCGATAGGCGCTATATGTAGGCTAAACGATTTTGACAGCTAAATTTCAGTGAATCAAGCAGGGTATGGTTCTCACATAAAACCATTATAACGTTGCGAGAAATGTCTGAAATGTACTATTTCATCTGACTAGCATGTCCGTTATGATCGAGGCGACAGTGCTGCGCTCTCTCGACAATTAGGAATGGCCGGCCGTGCATGACTTCCAGGGCATTGCCGAATACGGTCGAGATGTTTCAACGCCGCTGAAAACACGCCCAGCTGTGCACAGAAACCTGAGAAATCCCAAAAGTGAGTTTTAATTCCTGCCAGGTTAGCTCTGCGCAACCAGGTGGGTCGAAGCATCGAATCGCCAGGAGCAGTGAAGCTGTTCCGAAAAATCGAACCAGGAATAGGGCTACGGCTTGGTGAGCCAGGGATGCGGAAAAGCTGGGCGATAGCTAGTAATCACAAATAGCAGAGTTCCAAGAGGTTATCCCTAGCATGTCGTTTAATATGTTGGAATAAGCAGTAGAAGTGGGTAATCATTGTAGAAAGTGGCATGAGGAGCTTTTGTAATATCCGATTGAGCAAGTGCGTCCAAGCTATGCTTAAAAGACGAGGAGCATTGCACGGATGTTTCATCCCTATTGTGAATCATCAGCTTTGTCCACCTCACGAAAATGAGAAAGTTTCGAGCCAGCGAATTTGTGACCAGTAGCTGGAAAGTCAACCGTTCTGCCTCGAGCAGCTGAAAAGCAGTGTGACTAGGTCTCACTTAACACACCTTGCATTTTTACCTTCACAGGTCCGACCAAAAGAACACCCAGGAACGCTAACATCTGCCAGGTAGCCACGAGAGGAGCTTTGCAATGAGAAGATCAAATTTTCGGAGCGTCTGTGCAAAATGAAAAACGGAAGGCTACTGATAATGAGCCAAAATATCTCTTATGTAGGCTGACGATGAAATTAGGTCTTTAGAGCACTAGATAAATTGATAGACGAAAAATGTAGTTTTTATTCAACACCTCAAACCACTGTACCGATCACGAGTTCAGAGCTCCTGAAGAGGCATCGGATGCATAGAAGGCACGAATGGTTTAAACTGAATGCACCAGTAAGCATAAGACAGAGTTCATTGGATTTGCATTATTTGAGAAATTTCTGCTGTCCTACAAAAGTTCAAGGACGTTGAATTCATAGTGCTATTCGTAAGAAAGCCGACAGAAAACGGATGACTACATATTAGTCCCGGAAAAATCCCGGCACGCATTCTGATCAACCAGCCGGACACTCTCTTCGACAGATTTACAACAGCCCGGAACTCAGTAAACAAAAGGCGTTTTTTCCTTCCTGATCCTTGGACGCTCGACTGTCCTTTAATTCTTTAATCCTTTAATTCCGAAATAAAAGCCGGAATTCAAATCTCCGTGACTGCCTACACTGCGTTCATAATTGGCGCTGGATGAAACAGGGTTGCATTTGGGCTGCCACGCTCCAACGAATTACGATTTGCACGAATACAGTACGAGCTTCCGAAAGCGGTATTTTGATCCAATGCTGTAGAGGGCCATCTCTTTGATGCCTTGTTGCCAGGTCATACACTGTCCACCTCCCCATCACTTCCACACAGCACAGGGATGGCCTCCCCATCACTTCCACAGAGCACACGGATGCGCGAAAATAGCTTAGCAAGGCAGATGATCTACTGACATGCGGAAGACACGTCCTAACCAACGTAACCTATGAAGCGTGAGTAATTCGCCTGTCGCAGGAGATATAATACTTCCTAGGACCATCTGCCGTACCTCAATAGTACTAGTCCGATGTTAACACCAGATCTGACCAATGCTTCGGAGACACCGATGTTCAAACACTGGCATCTTTCGTGCGTCCTCTGATGCAGAATTATCACATCGTACCTTACTTATTAGGTGTATTTTTGGGTCACTGAGAATGTGGCTTCACTCACATGGAAAACGTTCGGTTTCAAAACATTCTAGCTCAGTTCCTCCTCACTCGTTTACTTTAATCTACGACGACTCCTAAAAAACGGTTCTTAATTTCAATCCGCACATCCACAGACAAGACCAGCACGGGACTTCATGGTCGTTGTCAAATCCTATTTAAACTAAAAAAGCACTCTTTAGCTTGGACATATTAAACATAAAATTGCTGAAAACTTTTCGAAAGAATATCATCAACGAGAGATTTAGTTAAGTTTATAATTAACACTAATGTAACTTTGAGATGAGTGCATGCATTGCTTGTACTTTCTGACCAGTTGTTCGTAGTTCCTCAAGGACAACTCAGCCGGCTTGGTCAAAATTGACGATAACTGCCTATGCAGACATTTATTATCAGCCTTCTATCTACCTGAGGAAAGTTTGGAAAGCAACCGGGTGGTGCCATGGGGGCTGGTCGGTTAGGGCTAAATGTGTGCTAAATGTGCTAACTAAATGGTCAACTATATTGCGTAAAGTGATACTTACATCGGGAACACTTGTGACGTCGCTTCGATAACGACAGAATAGTCGTTAGCTGTTTGTTGGTAGTGCAACAGGGATCGTTACTTCTAGCCTTCCTTTCCAGGAAACCCACACTAATTGGAAGATCGATAGCTTTGAGACAACTCTGACAGTCAGTTGCGTATTCCCTGTAATTAGGTGAATGGTCACAGCGAGAATGGAGCTGCCGTGTAAAATAATGCCATAGATTAATTAAAAAGCCGAATTGGTTAAGATTCATCAAATGCATATACACCACTTAATGCTCGCCTTCAGATATTCGGTAGTTGGCTCCCACCGATTCCATCAATAGCTAGAGAACTAGTGCCGAAAATCGAGGTAGATATCTTCAACTGCAATTATGATTCACACAATAAAACACAATGTTTACTCTCCCATGGCGGAGTGAACTTCGGAGGGGAGAAAACATACATGGGTTGTGGTTAGAGAAGAGAGCTATTTCGCACCCTCTAGAGAAGCAACCTCCTTTCAGCTGTCTCCCATTGTAGATTCAAGGTGCTGTTTGTGTGGAGCTGAGCATTCTGTTGTTCCGACCATCCAATGACTTCATACTGCAAATTCAGTAGATGATCATTGCAGAAGATGGACTTCTGGAGTACTTCAGTGGAGAATAAGGAAGAAAAGAGACTCCCACGCTTGTTACGATCACTGTGGTTTGCCTATATGTGCCCAGGCTTCCCATAGTATATATATTTGAGTGGATGGGCTGTTGCGCCGTGTTTCCACACTCGTAATCCCACCATGCAACGGTTGCCACTCTTGAGGAGGTATTCTGGCATCCCTCGTGATGTTCTCCTCGAGGAAAACGAAAACTAACTTGATGTCTCCCTCAAAAATTCACCAGATGAACGGACAGGCATTTTCACAGGAGTTGAAACTGCGCAGTGTAAATGTATAGTCCCACATTCACCTTGCGGCTTGTTAAATGGGATTTTACATTTGGATAGGTAGAATAACAAGGTGATTTTCGTTCACTGCAGTCACTACTGGCTGACAATTTACTCTCAGAAGAAACTTATAAAAAGCCGTTGAAGTTAAAGTAGCCAGACATATTGTGATACTTCCGATGTTTCTGTTACTATGGCTACTGCTTGCAAGGTTCCCTCAGTAGAGGCGTACAGTATGCCAGAAGTTGTCTGTCTTCAGTCGGCGATGTCTCTAAGTGAAAGATGGTTAAAAACAATTCCAATGCGGTTTATATTGACCTAATGTGCGCCTATTCGGAATGAGATTTCGGCGCTGTAGGAAACCAAGAGCCGGAAAGGTTCTGTAAAACAGGATTCTCCACTCCGGCTGTGTTACAGTGCATAATCCGATTTGTACCCAGTTTGTTGCAGTAAGATCTCCAGAACATCCACTCTACTGCTACTCCAACAGCGCACGCAAGACGCACCCGATTTATCACGTGCTTCACTGAATGAGGTGATGCGGTGGGTAAAATTGCTCACTCTGTCAAGGCTTATCACTTAGACGCGCGCATGCGCATTGATCATCCTTGTTGACCGTGACGTCATTGTTACACTCAAGTGCTAAATGCACCCACCGATAAACGTCACTGCTCCACTACACAAAAACATTGACGATGTCACCGCAAGCGGTGTTCAACCAACGAACAAACCAAGACTAAGTATTGCATGTATTGTACCAATTATTATAATCCGTGCTTCACCAACTACTCCCGTTTGCACACTGACTTGGTTTTAACGGCTGGCTCCATTGGATCCAGCTGAATCTCTCGTTTGAAAAAGTCCTATTCAGCTGAACGTGATTCAGACTGCCGTCTCATGTTTCATTTGCCACGATGTTCGAGATTTCGTGACAAATTATCTAGACGTAGCATTGCCTTATGAGTTGTGTGTTACATCCAGAAAATGTATCGCAATATCTCGAATATCATGCCAACTGAATCATAAGGTGGCCTTGTGCAGCCCATTCAGCTGGATACCAGCATGTTAACCGGGAGATTTAGCTGAAGTTAGTGAAGTCTTCTGTTAGAGCCAAATTCGTATGCAAATACGAGTAGCTGGCGAATTCTGTCCAACTTGGACTCAAGTGCAACAAAAGGCTCACGAAAACGTGGGAACCGCGCCTACCCGATGGGCTTCAAGGAGGACGAAACCGGCAATGAGCTGTCGACGATTCTTCAGTAAGCTTATGAGTAGATAATCCATTGTTGGTCGAGTAGCATTTGTCCACCAGGTTCGGTGGCCACTTTGTCACATCTATCTCGCGTGCAGTAAAAGCTGGTAGCATGTAGAAGTAGTCCCACCTCTCTCTCCCGACCTTACTGTAACACCATCGATATTGGACAACACTAATGGACGATGTATTCGGATATTTTAGGGCGATTCGGAAGCTGGTTTCTTTCCAGACTCACAACATCAAAACGGTCTAGGAAATGTTTCACCTGAACACCTAGGCACTTGTTTCTATTAATGAGCTCATCAACCTGAGCATCAACCACGACTGTATGCCGGTAGACGTAAAAGTTGGCCTACACCGTTGCCATACATCCAGATGTGTTAGAGCGCTCATTTCGCCACTTGGTGTTTCTGCTTTTTTGAACGCTTCTACTGCTCACCTAAATTTATATCGGGATGTCGACGAAAACAGTTATTTGCATATCATTTTGCCTTTCGCGGGAGACTCAACCGAATCTCTCGTATATGATATTCTTCAGCCGGATGTGCAGCACAAAGGCCACCTCATATTCCAATTGGTACGCTATTTGAGATATCGCAGTATATTTTTCATAAAGGATATCATCTACAAGGTTGCTGGAAACTTTTCTACAGCCCTTCTTAGGACTCATCAGGTAGGCACAGTCCCCCAGTTCCCGCTGACGCTTGCAGTAGAACCAATTCAATTCGAGGCTGAATGAATGAGTAACAAGATGCGACCACAAAGACAACTACAAATGGCGTTAGCACGGGTCCTAGTCGCTTCCACTGAGGAACTTTCAGAGTTCGATTTGGATCGACAAACCAAGCTTACGAAGAGCGGATGGATCCGGTATGACAGGATACTCATAGCGAAGTAGTTAATTCATGCAACTTATTGTGCTTCGGTGCATTGTCCCGCCAGAAAGTTTCCGCGAAGAGCAGTCACCTAGCAAGAGGAACCGAAGCCAGCAGTCTATCTAATAAGAGAGATATCACGGCCAGGGAGATGGTTAATCAACCCACAACTTTTGGGAGGATATCCCGCTACCCAATGGGCTGATGAAAGATGTCCCTCCAGAGAAGATTCTTCCAGAAAGAAAGGTGAACGGTGCATTTTCTCAAGGCGGCCTCTCGTCATGGACCACTCTGGTCCGAAACCAGACAAACCGGAACGAATATGACTGAAATTGAAGCAAAGGGCAGAGGTGGGCTTACTCAACTTTTTAACGAATCGGTCAGTCCGATAAATCACTCACATTAAAACGATCAGCAGTGAATAAGTCTAGCCTTTCTGTCGCTGATCAGGTGGCTGTCGATCTGTTCGTTGAGTTTGGCAAGTCAACTGCCAAGGTCGGTGAACAGATCAACAGCCACCTGATCAAGAACCAATAAACCAACCCGAGCTACCAATATTTCGACAGATTGCCAAGCCTAGCGTTTATTCGAGCATAAGTTCCACATCCAAATAACTCCACTAATTTGTCTACGATGACGGCAGGAAACCCTGTTGGAATGTCACCCTAGCCACCATCACTACGCCCACCACTGTACGCAGTTGGGTTGGACAGCGCTAGTCCACCGGTGGAAACAGGTATTGACAAGGAATATTGTGCAGATCAACCACTTAATCATGTCAAGCTTATATGCTATTCGCTACAATGGCGGGCTGTAAAATCAATTCCTTCCTATAACTGTTCAGCAGTCTTTTCTCCAGTAATGTCATACGATCACACTAAAACGCCTGTCTATCTCACCGGTATGTACTATGAGATTGGTGGGGGTCAGATTACATGTCCCAATAGATGTGATCGAGAGAACAAGTGGGAAGTGGACGATTCAGTGGATAATAATGGACCAGTCTGGCTACCCGCGTAGGTTAATTGGCTGTTGGCCCACTCAGATGCGCACTGACGACGTCTCCTAGCATGGTGACGGGACATTTCCAAGCCAATTGTAAGGCTCGGTGAAACGATCGACTGACTCGTAGGCAAGAGACTTTTTGAAGTCTTAATATGAGTTAGAGATACCAGTGGAAAGGATACAGTGAGCAAAGTCCAACGAAACCGGAATAAGAGACTAGCAATCGGATTGTTTCAATATCGTTACGAACCTCACTCAAAAAGAACCAGCACACAAAGACAGACAAACCTTGGTTGGAGATTCTGGTCAGAAAGTGATATCAATCGAGTCACTTAAGTGTGATGACCTATAGGGTTTCAAGCCAACTGCAACGAGAGTCACATTTATCTCAGACAGGGAAGTTCGAAAATCTCAAATTAACCAGTTTGATTTTCGCCGCTTTCACTTCACCGTATTGGCAGATGTCAGCATGGGTTTGGAACGGAAAACAGCGCAATCCAGTAAACGGAAGCTGAACACGTACAGCACATGTCTCAACCATCTTAGCCCCATATGTTTCGTGTGCTGTTATTGTAACCCTGCTTTGTTACAAAGTAGTCGCCAATGCACCGGTTCGCGTACACGATTTAGCCAGCTGATTCCAGCTGTGCTACAAATGTACCGGAGGCCAATGGTTAGGAGATGATCATGCCATGTTTCATAACCATAAAGTAAGACTGATCTTACTCTTGTCTTGTGCATACGGCCCTGTACCCTCGGTGAAATTCGCTCCAAATGCCGCAAGTGACTCAAGTTTTCAAATAACGTTGGACCTCCGCTAATGTCTGCATTAAGTGCATCAGTCACAGTACTTTAATCGCCTATGCAGCTACGCGAAGATGCGCAAAACGACGAGCAGTCTATTGCTCTTTAAATTGAAGGTTCAAAGGGGAACAGGGGTTGGAAACGCTAGAGCAAGACTTTGCAGTTTGACGGCGCAAAACGTCCGCCGAAACACGGGGTTTAGTGGCAGTATCCTTTGTGAAAAAATATACTGCGATATCTCAAATATCGTACCAAGTGAAGTATGAGGCGGCCTTTGTGTAGAACATTTAGTTGAAGAGAGGTTATCTCGTGAGAACCAAGTTTGGATGCAAACGAAATGTATTTGTCGAAATCTGTCCAATTTGGATTCAAACAGAACACAAGTCTGACGAGAACTTGGGGACTGAGCCTACCCGGTGAGCCCTAAGAAGGGCGAAAACGGTCGTGGGTTGTCGAAGAGTTTCCACCCACTTTGTGAGTAGTTCCCTTTATGAAAATAACTGTTTCTGCCTTACGTTAGACTAAGTCATATTGGAAGCGAGTGTCGCGAGCCAGGAACCAGAGACCAGACCTGCTTGCTGTCCTGTTTTTGTTAAGGCTCACCACTCCTCGTCGTGGCCAAGATGACGAGATCCAAATAAAAATAACTGGGTAGTGATCGTAAACAGTCATTTACCTAACTTCGTATCTGTGTGACACTTAAGTTGTAATCTTCTTGGTGTTAAGTTTCACACTAGGTTCACCGTTCCCGGATTTACTTAGTCTACCAACACACCACGGTAAGAATAAATGGTGACCCGTCTGCATGCAACTCCTACTTGTTTGTGCAAAACTCCTCTATGGTTTGCGAGATACAACGTTCAGGTTGCCCATAAATCGTTCATTCTTCCTGCGGCACTGGGAAAGGGGCATGGCACGCGAATTCAGCAAGGTTGCTTAAATTGGATGACTGAGTAGAAAAACAGTGAAGAACCCGAATCCACAAACTGACAAAAAAAGCATGATGATGAGTAGGGGGTTGCATTGAAGACACACTGAATGATTTCACTTACCGAGTGAATGGAGTGTTTTGTTCTCGACGCTACTAAGGAAGAAGTGGACGTTGCATCTGGAAGCCCATGTGTTTCGCACGACTGTCGCTTTATTCTCGTGATTTGCTGGCATTGTGAGAATCATGCAGACGACACGTACTTTCCTGAACAGTTCATCTGCAATGATTGATTCATCTACAGCAAAAATGAAACGTGAAAACAGGTGCTCATTTATTGGCTACTTCACTAGGCATTCGGGAAGTGACCGTTTTCTTCTTCAATACAATGTCTTGGTTTTCCAATGTTTCCAGCCGATACTTTTGAACATCAAAAGCAAAACTGTGTGAAAAACTTATCAGTGAAAACAAGAAAACGAATTTAACCTGTTAGCTAACAGAACTTTACACTCCCTGTTCACTTGTGATGATGCGAAATTAGGCCACAATCGTTTAAAGGTTGAAATTAGGCGGTCTCTGTAGGCTCTTTTGTATCACTGTGCCTTAGTCGAACGATGAAGGTGCACTACGTAGATGGACCGCTCAATGACCAGATTCAAAAGCATTAACAATATAGAATGCACCGATCTGGCAGTGGAAACCAACTCAAACCGTCCCAACAGATAGCAACGTAATAGTTTTGTACTTTCGGTTCACAGCAGAACTTTTGTAACGCAGAAACCTTTAGGTTGATCTGTTTGTGTAGCAGCTGCAAGAATGTCCCATAACTGGATTCAGCTGTGGATAATGAGGTGTCAGAACAACACCAAGCGGAGTTCGCACGAGAAAAGGATGGTCACGCTCTGTGACAGGGAATGAAGTAACATGAATACGGTTACTTCGTGTCCATGTCGGAAAAGCTGCAAGTTCTGAAACACTTTTGCAGAGAAGGGGAGGATTTAGGAAGCGAAGTTTGGATATATTGATAGTGCACCCATCAATGACTGGTAGATAAGAATAAAATTCCGTTACCATATCAGCGATTACTTATTAAGCTGAATGGAATATCCATTAACAGAGTAAGGTACTGAAAAAAACTATTGTAATTCACGTGATCGGACGTGCACGACCTGGGCGAGACCAGTATGTCGTGTTGACGTGTGTGGAAAATATTCGAACGATCACCCGCTAACTACGATTGAACCTGCCAGCTTTTTGAAAATAATATGGCTGCTTAACATAGATTTGTCACGTAGTCCGGATATCGACCATTCGAAAACCTTCAAAGCGCAAACGTTTCCACTTGAATGTTTGAGGACTTCATTTTTACGCCTTCTCGTCAAGTAGACTCCGTAAGAATGCATTTAAGCAGCTAGACTTTCACTCGCGAATCTCCGATAAATGAATACAGGACGTTTATATGAAATCAGGTTCCGCACTGGTAACGTACTATCCTGCAGCATTGGCTAGTTTCATCGCCAGTGTATCGTCATCCACGTCCATAGGACCGGGCATGAAGATACGAATGAAACCAAAATACGTCTCCATAGGGGAACAAATGCGCGCCTCAAAACTTGTGGATTATCTCGGTAATATCAGTGTGACGTGGGGAACTACTGTGGGTCAGAAGCAAGAGCTCAATGAGTTAAACATGCAATGTGAGCAAGAAATAACTGAAATACAGTAATGTAAACAGGCCAGAATGCGCGCATAAGCTATAGCAGACTCAGCCGAAAAACTGCTGGATTTTGATGTGAAAAGACCACTAGGCAGATCCAAATACTGAAGGAAAATACCAAAAAAATGGGAAAACCGCCAAACACAATGGGAATGCTGTAACGGTTGCCCTTCCGCTTAATTACTCCTCCCAGCAATCTCACACCTGCACCTACGATCCCTATTTAATTTTGTCTGCCTCACAATCACGCGTCAACATCGTCACAATGGATACGACCTTTGGTCAACAACAGGCTCCCTGAACTCGTTAGGGTGAAATGTGATCTCACATTATTGATTTTATGTTCCACTCGACAGAACACGGCCAACAAAAACACAACACACCCGACACACTCGCGCGCGAGCAACTGGTCAGCCAAGCGTTTCGGGTCCAGACAAATACCGAACACGTGTAGCAGCTATACTGCGGAGAAAACACGTTCCCACCGTCCGGACTCTAACCAAGGAACACTCACAAACGATAAGTTCCCCTTTGGACTTGCTCCACATTTCTTTCATATTACATTTATTTTATACATGGTGCAAATAGCTACTGTAAGCTACTGACAACTACAGTATATTGTTATTAGTGCATACTCCTTCTGAATTGTATCATGGATACCATAATTTGTGCTCGCCTAAGCTTAATTCTCTCAACACGTCTAACGCTGTTTTCTTCCTTCACGCCCGCATCGGCGAAGTAGATAAGCACATAGCGGTGATTACTTTCGAGCGTATCCCACATCGTCCGTTTACGTCTCCGAATAAGCAGAGACGCCACTTTTCTACTTCCGTATCTCGTTCTTCAGGGCACTGTTGCTACCATACCCAATTCACCCGAGCTGCTCGAAAATGCACAGCAACTTGTTCGTTTCGGGTGTCACCATCCGTAGTTAAATCTCAACCGGGAAACCAATAGGCCGGACATTACAGTCGAGTAGTATCCCAGGCCTAGATTACAACACTCTCTGTCTCCTCCTCTTAGATAGGAGCTCTGGTCTTCGTTTTCTGGTCGACAGGTACCGATACTTGCGTAATACGTGTAACTCAAAACTGCCCCCCCCCCCCGCTTATATTGCGGGTTGCTGTTGGCACTAACATTAAAACATACGGACAACGAGCGCTAGACCTCAACCTCAGCCAGAGTAGAGAAGTCGGATGGTTTTTCATCATTGCAGACGTACACCAATCCATTCTAGGGGCAGATTTTCTGAGCCATCATAATTTACTAGTAGACTTAAATCGTCAAAGTCTAGTTGACTCCATCACTCAGTTAGCAGTCAGAGGAAAACCAACAAGTACAACGAACATTTGCCCATTAACGCTATCGCCACACGGTCCTTACCACGACTTACTCCGCGAATTTCCTGAGCTCTTAAGGCCTAATTTCCATCAAGCAGAACCGACACACTCTGCGGCTCATCACATTGACACACGCGGAACTCCCGTTTACGCACGTCCACGACAACTTCCACCGGAAAGACTAAAGATTGCCAGGGATGAGTTTCAACATGTGGTACAACTTGAAGTCATTCATCCCTCCAGTAGCGCTTAGGTATAACCACTCCTTATGTTACCAAAAAAACTGGAGACACGGTAGTGACTACCGTGCACCAAATAATATCACTGTTCCAGATCATTACCCCATCCCGCACATTCATGATTTTGCGTCTATTCTAGTGGGTTGTACATTTTCCCACGTCAATATCCACCATATTGGAATTCACCCCGAAGACATTCATAAAACTGCTGTTACTACGCCTTTGGTTTGCTCGAGCTTTTATGCATACCCTTTGGTTTGATAAATGCAGCTCAGATATTTCAACGTTTTATTGACCAAATACTTTCTGGTTTGTCGTTCTTTTTTGCCTATTTAGATGACATTCTAGTCGCCAGTGATAGCATCGAGCAACATCTAGAACAATTACGTCTTTTATTTACCAGATTGCACGACCGTGCATTAAATTTTCTTAGCCATACGATTGATCAAGACGGTTTATCACCTGCCACTAGTAATTCGACCATCATTCGTGATTTTTCTCTCCCTAGATCAAACATTTTCTAGGAATAATTAACTTTTACCGACGGTTCATTTCTAAAGCTGCTTCCTCATTAGCATCACATACGACACTATTATCTGGAAACCCCAAAACTTTTCGATTGACCCATTCACCCATATCTGCCTTTGGGCAAGCCCAAGCCTCCCTAGCTGATTCTCTCAAACTATTTCACTTACAACATAGTTCCTTTCTATCACTCAACGTTGGTGCTTCTAACCATGCTAAAGGCGCGGTTCGCATCAGATTATGAATAATGTGCATTAGCCACTTGCATTTTTCACCCATAAGCTATCACCCACAGAATCACGTTACAGTACATTTGGTAGCCATTTACCGATCGATTTGCCATTTCCGTCATTTGCTGGAAGGCATCTATACAGATCACAAACCGTTAATGCCAGCCTTAACCGGCAAGCCTGATGAATATTCACCCCGCGAAATACGTCACCTTGATAATATTTCTCAATTCACCGATGACATTCGCCACATATCAGGACATCTGAACATCGTTGCTGACGCCTTATCTCGTCCGAAAATCGACTCACTCCACTCGACATTTACGATCATCTGCAGCGTATGGCGCAACTACAAAAAGACGAGCCCGTCAAACTGCCATCACCGGACAAATCTTCACTACAGATCAGACCCGTACCACTACAAACAGCACCAGGTAACATAGACTGTGATTCCTCTACATCCGTTTCAAGACCCCTAGTTCCATGCGCAATGTGCCGTCTCGTTCTCTATGTGCTGCGTAATGTAGCACACCCTGGAGTACGTCCAACGAGCAAACTCATCTCTCAACGCTTCGCATGGCAGAATATGAACAAAGACATCCGTTCATGGGCAAAAACTTGCCTCGCGTGTCAACGTTCAAAAGTCATTCGGCATACTCACGCACCCGTTGGCACCTTCTCTCAACCAAACTGCCGATTCGGCCACGTTCACCTGGACATAGTCGGCCCATTGCCGATATCTAACGGTTTTTCCTACCTTCTCACATGTGTCAATCGCTTTACACGCTGACCACAAACTATCCCCATTTGCGATATTTCTGCCAAGACTATCACTCGAGCATTCATAAACGGTTGGATTACCGATTTCGGGATCCTTTCTTTTATAACCACCGACTGCGGATCGCAATTTGAATCACAACTCTTCCAGGGTCTCACTAAATTACTCGGATGCAAACGCATTCGAACCACTGCCAATCATCCTCAAGCAAACGGTCTAGTGGAACGATTTCACCGACATTTGAAGACCGCTTTGCGAGCACAAGACAGTTCATCTAATTAGTCTGATCAACTCCCACTGATTTGCTGCATTTACGCTTATGTCGACTCTCTGGAGTCAATTGTCCCGACAGTCCACAACACAAAGTGCCCATCGACAAGGCTGCACGCCCAACTACAGAATCTACCAGAGAACGCCCTGCACAACCTCACCGAATCACTCGTTCTGGCACACACATAACACTGGCCAGACCGTTTCATCGCATGTTGACATCAACTATTTCATCACGACTGACACCTAGCGTTCAACCGACCTTTTTCCTTTTCGATACGGGGAGAGTATTTGTAACGGTTACCCTTCCGTTTGATTACTTCTTCAAGCAACTTCACACCCGCACCTACGATCCCTATTTGGTTTTGTCTGCCTCACAATCACACGCCACGATGAATACGACCTTTGGTCAACAACAGGTTCCGTGAATTCGTTAAGGGCGCATTGTGATCCCACATGAATGTTTTTACGTTCCACTCGACATATATAAGGACAGAACATGGCCAATAAAAGCACAACACAGTCAACACACACTCGGGCGAGCGCAACGGGTCAGTCAGAGAAAACACGTTCCCGTCGTCCGGACTCTAACCAAGGAACACTCACAAACGATAAGTTCCCCTTTGGACTTACTCCCCATTTACTTCATAGTACATTTATTTTATACATGGTGCAACTAGCTACTGTAAACTACTGTCAACCACAGTAGACTGTTATTAGTGCATACACCTTGTGAGTTGTTTTTGGCTATCATGGTCTATGTACTAATAGCACCTCTCTCGGTAAGTATCTTGGCAGGGGACCCTGGCTGGGGACCCCGAGACGGGCCACATCAATGGCTAGAGACATTATCAGACATGGCCCAGTCGCGCCCTCAGTGGCGCTCATGCATCCAAGCTATTGCCTTCAATGCATAGCTCCTTTTCCACCCCCACCCCCCGCTTGACAACTCACTGAAAGTGCTGGATTTATGCACCAATTTACCAGCTCGCGCGTGCAATGCGCAGCTACTTACCCCCCAATCATCGGTGAACGAAACTGTGGCAGCTACAATCAATGTACGACCAGTACGCGGTTATTACAGTTGATAATGATGATGATGATGATCTTGGCAGATTCATGTGGAATACTAGACGCCACTTCATTTTGCCGATTGCCTACGCGAACCATTCCGTTTTTTT